ACTGGCCATCATAATGTAAGATCCTCCCTGAAATGCTTTGGTGTTAATGGAAACATGCTAATGCATGCAGTTTATTAAAAAAAAAAACAAATTTTTTTTGAGAAACTGTTAGGTAGGAGACAAGATTTGGCATCCAAAGGGAGTGCATAGATGGATACAGAAGACAAAATCTCTGTGTTCTATATACCTAGAATTTGACTGAGGAAAAGAGAGCAAATGGGCAAAGACAAGGAGAAAACCTACAGCACAAAGTCTAGCAGAATAAATGTCCATAAAAAGGCGAAAATGCTATGGGCCTCAAGGAAGGTAAGATGTTGCTTTTGGTTGGGAAGATGAAGAGAGGCCTCTAAACACTTCAGACGGGTTTAGGATGTTAGTGAGACAAAGGCAGGTGAGATACACAGTGCTGGAAGTGTTTGAGATGTATGCAGAGACACGAGCAGAGGCAGAGGGAAGAAATCCAATGTGTTGGGGGTAGTTAGCAGAGAAGAAAAGTTTGCTTTGAGGAAATCTGTCTTCCATTGATGAAAAGTGGCCCTAGAGAACAGGAAAGGGAGCTGGGGAAACTGAAGTGGGGAAATGAAGGAAGGCAGTACAGGGGTGCGTGCAGCCCGGGTCTGGGCAGTTATGGCTCAATACTGCTGGGACCCTCTGAGGAACTGTCAGAATGCATTTCAGAATTGTCCACTTGTGGGATGGAAGAGAGTAGCCTTTTCCCACCCACCCCCATCCCCCATTTGTCAAGGGCTCCCTATGGAGAAGCTCCCACTTCTGGGTTTGTGCCTGTGTAAGTGTCAAGCAGGTTCCTGCAAATGTCCTTCCCCAAGGTGTTCTAGGAGCCCTGGCGCAGGGAGAGAGATGCTTGCTACTGCTGATATTTTGCTGTCAAGTTGGACCTTCTCAAAGCTGGTTGCATAGAACAACTGGAGTAAAAGGTAGGCTAACAGGATGTGGGCTGGTGTTCAAGGGACATCCCAAACAGAATCATAGACAGTGAAGCAACAGGGGATGATACCAGAACAATAGGTTTGGGGACAGATTATGCCCGGGTTCCTACTACAAGACCTGATATACCTGCTTGTCATGTGCAAAAAAGGGCAAGGGCTCCTGAGGGCAGAGAGCCCGTTGTGCTCACCTTCACATTCAGGAAATTCTAGTGTATTGCAGTGTACATGTACTTGGTTAGTGAATTTTCATATCAAATCACAGGCTTCAAAGTAACCCTCACAAAATGGACAACTGGCTTAAAAGCATCTTTATAAAGAAACTGTAGATTGAATATACTACTTCCAGAAAACATGAATAATAACAAGAAAATATCACAGCTGATGCTTCACCTTCCAGCCACATTATAAAGTAGAAACAAGGTTAGTAAAATCAGTTCTAAGAAGGTGCCTGGAAGAAGCTCAAACTGATTCCTTGAAATCTGGATTGATTTACAATCAACATGGTTAACAATCTTTACCATAGCACATGAACCCATCATGATTATCAAGACTTGTAAATGTTTAATTTCACATTATTCTTGTTGTCTAGATTTATCTTTTGGGGTATATATTATAATGTCTATAATAAGCATTTATAGAATTAACAAATAATATTCTTGTATTGACCAGGGTTGTATGAACAAAAATGTATGGGTTGGCAAAGAAATAGGAAGGGAGAGGGCTGCATGTGAGAGCATTTCGGGGCTGACTTCACTGGTTTTGAGAACTGAGAGACTAAGGGTGCAGTGGTCTCGTAAGATGATCTACGGTTACCAAACATGAGATTCTCTGACTGCTTGATTCTCTATCCTGGAATCAGCCATCCACAGCCTAGGCTGGGTTTGATCCACGGGACTTAAATAGAAGTCAGTGTTGTTAGTTTGGCCCCTCTCCTGGGTGAGTACGATGGGCTGTCCTGCCGTGGAGGAGGCTATGAACCAGCCGGGGTAAGAGGCTGACTGAAAGGCGGAGGTGGAGCCCTCCTTATTGTGGAAAAAGAGGAAGGGCTTCTGTGCTTTGCTTTCCAGGTACAGGTCCATGATGTTTTTCTCCTGGGGGTGGGAAAGACACTTGTTAGAGAGGAGGACTGGGGGGAGGGAGCTAAACTGACACAGCCCTGTGTGCACTTCAGGGGAGTCACTGTTGCCCTCAAAGGCAGGGACACAGGAAGATGGAAGGGGGACACCACGCTGTCAACAGGTACCCATTGGCTTCCAACAGCCTGGCTCCACCCCAGGATCCCATGAGTTAAGCTGATTCTGATCACTGTCCTCCCCGGATCAGAGAGGGAGGTTTACAACTCTTTCTTGCATGCTCCTGGAGTGCATTCATCTGCAGTTCGGGCCAGTCTCACCGGACTCTCAACCTCCAAGTGAGTTTACACATAAAAATTAAGTTTGGTCTAAATATTTCTTTGGACATAGTGAATCATAACCTAACTTGATATGTAAACAGACTGTAACCTTTTGTAACAAGTAGCCGAGTCTCAGCCAATCACAGGCAGCAAACTGTTCAAACCAGGTTTAAAGAAGGCAGACATCCAGCTGCAGGCAATCCAGCTGTTTCTGTACCTCACTTCCATTGTATGTACTCATACCTCACTTTCTTTTTTCTGTCGTAAATGACACCCAACCACGGGGCAGCCCCGGAGTCGCTCTTAACCTATTCTAGTTCGGGGAGCTGCCCAATTTGCAAATTGTTCTTTGCTCAGTTAAACTCTGTTAAACTGAATTTG